TAATATATATATATATATATATATATATATATATATATATATATATATATATATATATATATATATATAAGTATGTATTTATGTATAGCTATCCATGGGTTATGATTGCAACTAATACGGTGTATCGCGTATTTGCACGCTTGGATGCGAACAATCCGTATGCACGAGTGTCTTGGATGAGGAGCCAGGACAGAAAGCTAAGGAACATAGGATAGATAGCTACAGAACATAGCATTTCAGAACAGACAAACGGATATACTTATTATAGCCGTATTGAGTACACGTAGTGAGAATTTTTTAGGAATCCGTCCTTATCAGTCCATCTATAATCAGTATCCCCCCATAGTCATCAGAAAATAATAATACAGCAATATGTAAAGCTATGAGAGCCGTACCATATGTTCATACATTGTATCATACATACTTGCCATTTTTGAAATAAATAGTATTATCCCTATGTAAAAATCGGGAATGGCTTCGCGTCCGCGATACGTATAGTAAAAATATGGGACATAAATAAAAACACACAGATTACACGTGCCAAATTTTCGAAAATGAGCGGCCAAAAGTGTCATCAAATCTCACCGGCGTCATTTCGTATTCTCGTAGTAGGGCAAGATTGTATTGTATGTAAATATTTAGGGATGTATTTATATGTATGTATGTATAAAATAGTAACCTGTTCTGGAGATAAGCGATAAGCACTTCATTATCGAGCACCTCCCATATTTTAGAACACAAACAGTACGCTATCAAACTTTAGTACACGCATATCCGCACAATATTCCTGGTCGAGCCGGTACATTAAACTATGCCTATTGATCTTGGTATTATGGCCGACGATTTAGTTTCGGTCGAAGTGAGCGTGTTGCGCTCCAATATACACGTACTAAAGGCTCTGGGTTGTGGTAATGGATCAAACTGTACTAAACTAGCCAAGTGTCTGATAGATGGACAGTACTGGTCTATTCTCGATGGTCCGATCGCATCACAGATCATAGGTAGGGAATTGAGTGATCGGCAGGTGACAGGCGAAGCACTGTATGCCCATATACAAGAACAAGTCACGGCGTACATACAAAGCGAATCCAATTCAACCGAGAAGACTCTAGAATGTGTGCTTGTTGGTGCTGCGGCGCTTAACACCTTTGTACAGACAAATTGGACTGGACCTAAGCATGTGGTTGCAGATACACTTGACGCATCTTCGCATGAAGTGGATTTGTACTCGCTTTTGCCTGCTGACTGTGTAGATGTCACCGATGCTGATCGTGCCGACCACATGCGCACCTCAGAAGCGACTGCAAGTGCAGCGAGTTCAGGGTTGGTGCATGGGAAGGTGGAGTACCGAACTTTCGATAAGACTGTGCGGAGATGTCTGGGGGCGGATGGCGAGGAGGCGTATGGGCTGGCGAGCTACCAGCACTTGCTCTTGATTGCCCTTGCGGTGTTGGACACTGTGTGCAAACAAAGCAAAGAGGGTGCACCCACATCGGCTCACTGGTGGTACTCGCGCGCAGTCTTCAAGCAGCAGCAGATTCTGTCAGACTGGTCTGCGACACTGCGCACCAGTTACTTCACATGCATGCAGGCCACGCTGGACAGTTTCATCCCGTCTTGTAGTGAGAGCATACAGCCACATCTGCGTGTACGGGCTTTGATAGAGATGGCGAACGTCAGCCACTACTACCAGGACCAGAGGGCTGAGCGTGCGTGTATTATCGATGCACGTGAGCTGGCTGGGGTGACACTGGAGCTCACCGGTGCACTGGGAAGGCGTACACGGTGGCAGCAGACAGATATATCTCAGCTGGTGCTGCGTGCTTCTGGGGGATTGGATGATAGCAATGATTTCAACGAGGCTATAGAAGAAGTGGGAGGTGTTAGTAAGGGCGAGGGTGCAGAGAACGATGCGAATGAGATTGTGAGTGTTGTGATCAATGGTGAGGGTACTGGTGACGAAGTAAGCAATCCCGCCCTGCCCAAGAAACTAGCGTTGAATGACGACACGCTTTTGGAGAAAATCGCATTTAACGAAGACAGCGATGCACAGGAAGGAGAGGCGGGTACAGAGAAGTCGAGTCTATCTGTACTCACTCAGTGTCTGCTGCTGGCAAGCTGTCTAAATGTCAAGAACTCCAATGCGAAGGATGGTCTGACCACAGAGGAGATGGTGCCCTTTGTTGAGCGCTTACTAAAAGACCTGGACAAACACAACTGGCAGGTGTACTCCATGGGGCTTCTGTTGCGGTCTCGGTTAGAGGGCGAGCGCAACCGGACAGCTGAGCGAGGTGCTATGCAGATGCAAGTGCTGGTGGATCAGTTCAACGACGCTGCAGGCCAGAAGGAGGCGTCCCCAGCGGTCAGAATGGCTCACATATACACCATCTATTACCCGTCCCGGTTTGAATTAGAGCGAGAAATCGGAATCTACTATTTGCGACTGGGTGTTGTGGTGTCGGCGCGCGAGATTTTCGAGCGATTACACATGTGGGAGGACGTTGTGGACTGCTATCGCGCGTCTGAGAATATGGAGAAGGCCGTTGCTATGGCGACGGAGTTGGTCGAGCTGAGCGCCACACCCAGGAGACTGTGTTTGCTGGGTGATGTCAGCAACGAGCCTGAACACTACCAACGTGCATGGGATGTGTCTGGTGGTAGATACTCTAAAGCAATGCGTGCACTGGGACGCATACACTTTGCCAAGGGAGAGTTTGCGGAATGTGTCGAGTGTTTACAGAAGGCCGCCGATATCAATCCACTGCTTGAGGGCGTGTGGTTCACAATGGGCGCTGCGGCGATAAGAATTGGTGTGTGTGTATTGATACTTAGTACTCGCAGCGGTACGAGTGTATGTCGCTGGTGTATATTATCTCTGTTTGTGAATTGTACTTTTTTACTATCGTTACACATAGTGTACAGACCGGTAGTACTATTCGCTTGTGCTGCCCTTCGTGGTGTGCGGAAAATTTACCCTGTCCGTTGCGATATACTGGTAAATGTGAACTATATCGTCTGCGGATCATGGGTTTCGTCTATGTTCTACATGAAGGATATTTGTTTACGGAAATCTACGTATTGTGATTCAGACAGTGCGTTTTCATCTTTCTGTTAGTTCATATATATATATATATATAAATATATCTATGTCTCAGTCTGTCTATGTATATAAACATATTTATAAATATATATTAGTGGGTGTGTGTGTGTATAATGTTTATATACATACATATATATATTATGTTTATATACATACATATATATATATATAAATATATATATATAAACACAAACACACTCACACACACATATATATATTTATATATATATATATTAACGAGAAGCACCCCGCATCGCGATTATCCGTACAATGATGGATAGCGTACACAAATTCATTGCCTCATGTAGGTGCTTCTACTTGTCAAAACCGTGTCTTTCACTTGATATACTAAACGGGAAATATGTATACACATTTGTGTTTTTGCTTGTGTAGACACACACACATATATATATATATATATATATATATATATATACACACATATATATATATATATATATATATATATACACACACACACACA